CAGCCAGGCGGGAGACCGGCCCTTCGACACTCCCTGGCTTTCTCTAAAGCTCTTTTGTCCCCATCACCCTGACGCCGGGGAACACCCGGCGCGGCGCAGTAACAGGACACCGAGCAAGGAGCAAAGCGCTGATAAAGCACGGGGTCCGGCAGGCGAGCGCGGCGGGGGCACCAGCGAGCGGTGACCTCAGATGTCACCTTTACCCCCCCCCCAGACCTCCAGAACCCAAAGACTCAGGAATTTCTAAGGCATCCCCACGATATGGGGATGCTCTGCCTGCTCTGCTCCTCCACCGCGGGCAGCCGAGCCCTGGGGTGCCACGGGAGCCAGACTCACCAGTCCCGCACGTGGCGGTGCACGTGGCCCAGGAGCCGAAGCGCCAGAGGAACTCCGCCTGCTCGATCTCGTTCTCGCTGTCCGCGGGGCGCTGGATGGTGTACTGGTACCGCACGCCCGGGTTGGTCTCCTGGAACAGCAGCTGTGGGGAGACAACGGGCGGTCAGGGAGGTGGCCTGTGCAGAGCAGTCGGGGTTGGCCACTGCCCCAGGGGCTTTTCAGGAGGTAACAACGTGCCCATAAAGATGTCATTCTCCGTCCGGCTCCGTACCAGGGCTGCATTACCTGTGCCCCAGCAGCAGCACATGACCATTTTGGAAACAGCAAATGGCTGAAGCAGTGTAGGAGCAGAGGAGCTGCCCCAGCTCAGAGCGTGGGGCTTGTGGAAATGTCAGGCAATAATAAAAAATAACAGTGAGATTATTGAGAACTACCAGGACTCTGGTTTTATGTCTCCCCTGGTGAAGAACCTGGAAGGATTCCCCTTGTTAATCCCGTCCAGTCCCACTGCCAAATGCAGCCTCATCCAAGGACCTTCTCGAGGTTCAGCACGGCGAAGGGCCCAGGGCGGCCAGACGTCCCCTTCCCTGTCCCCTTCCCCGTCCCCTTTCCCCAGTTGGAGCCGGGGAGCGGGTTTTGCATGTGCCACCGCCGGCCCCAGCTCGGGGTCTGCAGCACGCGGGGCAGGAACGACCCTCCCTGCCAGTCAGGAGCATGCTGAGCCACGTCTGCCTCCCTCCACCACTCTTCCTGAACTCTCAGCGAGGGATGTTAAGGCTGGAGGGAGCTCTGACTGCTCCCAGCCCCGCAGGCTGGACTGATGGTGGCTAGCCCGGACAGACGGATGCTCAGGCGAACATCAGTCACAGTGACCTGTCCTTCGGGATGGTGGCAGAAGGAAGAAAAGGGGACAGCAGCAAGAGTCCAGCCCCACAAAGGAGGAATCAAATCTCCTTGCCTCCACATGTCCCAATGAGCTGCAACTGCTCCAGCAACCGCCTTGGGGAAGCACCGCAGCACATCTCGGCTCGAGATGCCGGCTACCTGCGTCCTTCCCTCTGCGCGCCTCCAACCTGCCACCGACGCGCCCCGGGCAGCACCAGGAGAGGGGCTTGACTGCATCGGGGCTGCAGCCTGATGCGCCCCGACCACCGCACAGAGCGGCTGGGGGTGCACCCACCCACCCGTGCGGTGGAAGAAGGGGCTGCAGCAAACGGAAGGGAGCCGCCGGCAGCAAACGCCAGCAATGGCTGATGGCGACATGCGCCTGAAGGAATTTCCTTAACTGCTCCCCACTTGAGACGGGTTCCCGCTGCTCTCAACATGCACGAAGCGGCTCCTGCGGTTGACACAAATCCTGCCCAAAGCACCTCCCGCACCAGCGCTCGGCAAAGGCTGGGAGTTTAACCTTGTTTTTCTTAGCCTAAGTGCTCTCATTATTGCCAAAGCTTTGTTGTTCTTGGAGCTTTGGCGGGAGCGAGGGCATCTTTCCAAAACCTCTTCACGAATATTGAAACATTTTTGTCAAAGGTTTTAATTAGGTTACGAATCCCAGAAAGCGATTTGCTGGTGCCGAGCACGCCAGCGGTCCCATTAACAGCAGCACTTGGCGGCAGAGGAGCCCAGGGTCCCGCTCACATTTCTTCCCGAGCCTCTGCTGAAAGAAATGCAAAAGACGAAGACTTTGGCTGCTCGGCGTGGCCGGGGTCCAGGGCAAGCCTCTGCAAAGGGGCTGGTGGTCCGGGAGAGCGCGGCGGGGGCCACTGCCGGGGCCAGGGGGCTCCTGGGGGTCCTGAAGTTCATTATCTGCTAAGTCTGCTCCCCACTGCCCGCTCTGCACAAAGGCTGTCTTCTGCTGGAGGCAACGCCTGACGGGAGCAGGAGATGGGCAGATGCTCTCCTGCCTGCAACGCTGCTGTCCTGGAAACACACTGCTGCAATGCATTTTTTTTTTAAATGCTTTTTTTTTTTTGGGGGGGGGGATGATGTGGTTAATTGTAACCTCTTCTGCCCAGACCCAGGCAGGCAGAGCGGCAGGGCCCCAACCCCGGTTCCCCCCCCCTGCCCTGGGAGCCGCGGCTGATGCCAGGCAGCATTGCTCTGCAACGGGGCTCGCCTCCTCAAAACCTCAGGGGTCTGATGAAAAATAACGACTTATTCTGCAGAGGGAAGTAGCTTTACAGAAATTCCCACATGCAGAAGAGTAAAACTTGAAATTTCTAGTCGTTTCAGAGGATTTTAAATGATCCTTTTGGATTTTTACCTTCTGCCTCAAGGGCTTTTGCGAGGAAGCGGAGCCTGACCTGCAGCGCCCTGGGCGGCATCACCCGGGTTTGGACCAC